CTGGTCTAGAATCACTGACTTAAGTACCATTGATAGTTAACCTGTAAATATCTACATCATCTCTTTTATGCATAGAACTAAAGGAAACTTGAAAAATATTCAGAAATCTCCAAAGATCCTGCATTTTGTTAACATATTTTCCAAACAGTACCAAAAGGTTATGATGTCATGAATCTATATTTTTTGGAATATTATGAATGTGAGCATGAATTATTCCATGTGATGGAGGACTAAACACATCTAAGCAAAAAGCATAAGTGAGACACAAACTTCAATGTAATGAGCAAATCTCAAATCCTATAACTTAGCAATAAGCTAAATACTTGTTACAGATGATGCCCTCATAAACAAATCACGTGGAACACTAGTTTTGGAATTTCCTTAAGTCAAGTGCATCACCTTCAGAGAAAAAAAAAAAATCAGAACTAGCTTCATGATTATAATCCCTCCAACTTTTAACCTAAGTATTTGAGAATATGCCCTATACCGGATAATGGGTGCTAATATTCATATTCAATTGTCCTGCCATTAGAGATGTTGAAGTCTGGTACGCAAACAGATTCACAAACAAATCATATACTAAACAATGATGATGGGGAGGAGGGTGGTGTGGGTGATATGGGACACAGGGCTCCGGGAGTCAGAAATCATGATGCCGAGGTTTGAATAGTAAGCAAGAGTTTGCCAAGTAAGCAAGGGGGCAAAGAAGAACATTCTCAAAAGAAGGCACTGCTTGTGCCAAGGCATGTGTTAATTCATTAGTCAAGTTAGATTCTTTGGGGGCATATATTTTAAACCAGACATTGCGCTATGACCTGGGAATGTAAGAATAACCAAGGCATATGCAGTTCCTGCCCTCAGAGAGTTAGCCATTAAAATGCAATAGCATTTGATAAGAGGCACCATAGAAGTAAGTAGAGGACACTATGGGATCAAAAAGAAATGTCTAACCTGAATTTAGTGTTTAATGAAAGCCTCTGGGAGTAAAAGTTAAATTGAGATCTGAAAACCACAGAGTAAACAGTAAGACAAAGGGTGAGTAAAGATGGGGGAAGAAATCTTCAGGAAGAGGTAACATGGTGCAAGATGGTTCAGAGGTGAGAGAAAGCATTGTGCATTCAAGGACCAAGGAATCCCAATCACCAGAGTGCCATGAATGAGAGTGGGAGTATGTGGGGAGAAAGACTATTTCAGAGGCAAGCAGGAGCCAAACTGTAACGGGCTTTCATAAGCCTAGACACTTGTAAGAACAATGGGAAAGCATTGAAGGACTTCAGGCAAAGGAATGCAGATTTGTAGATTAGAAAGATTATTCTCTCTACCCTATGAGAAATGAGTTGCAGAAAGACAACACACAGATCAAAAAGCAAATTAAAAGACTGATGCAGATATGCAAGTTAAAAAAAAAAGAACAGAAAAAACTAGGTAAGATAGCTGGACAGGAACCAGAGCAGTGACAAAATAGGGATGGCGAAAAGAAATAAGGCCAAGAGATGTTTAGGAGGTGGAATTAGAGATGATTGACTTGAGGAATTAGGGAGATGGACAATTAAAGACCACACCCAGGATTATGACTTGAGAAGCTGCATAGCAGAAAGTCATGTTATTCATTGAGATAGAGGAGAAAGACCCAGTTAGAAGGGAAAAGTGGTCAATTCATTTTTTGACAAGTTGAGTTTAAAGAATTGGCAGCTAAACTTAGAGGTCTGGACCTCTGGAGAAAAGTCTCAAGTATGGTATCTTCAGTCAATCTTTAGCATATCAATATGAATCAAAGCCAGAAAAGTAGACCAGCTATTCCAGGGAAAGTCCGTAAAGAAAAAAGAAAAAGAGTGAGAAGAGAAAAAAAGAAGATCGGATAATTTAATAGATGTCAGAGTTGGAATCCCAATTCAAGACTAGATGCAATAAAGTGACAATAAAGAAAGTTTACAGTATTTAGGAAAGAGATTGCTTGTGCTTGAACTAGGGAAGAAATATATGTGATGAAAGAGGAAGTAATTATAGTGATATTTGGGAGGTTTGAAGAAGTCCTGGTGGTTGACTGTATAGAAAATACAATAGAAGAAAAAAGGGTATTTTTAAATTTCTAGTTTGGGCAGATGATTGGATAGCAATGTCATATCCATCACAATGGAATGATCCTAATGATCCTATATTGGCAAAAAGATGACCACAGACACAGTTTTGAGGACAGAAAGGTTCTTGAATGGTAAAGGATATAGAAACAGTTAAATCAAGCAGGAGACAATCCAGCATGCTTCCAGAGATGCAGGTTTCCCCTGGCCTAGTAGAGCTGACAATGAAACTGGGAAATTGAAGTGAGTCAGGGAGAACTCTTTGACTATTCTCACAGTGGCCCCTCCCCCATACCACCAGACTGTTCTAGAGGCTCGTGTCACCCACTTGCCTGCTCAACCAGATACAAAGTAACTAGTGCATAATAAATCAGCACATTGCAGAGTGTTGGGACAAAGAATGAAACAAATGTAAATTTCTCAGGTGTGGCGGTTCTTCGCAGGCTTAAGCTTCAAATCTGCAATCTATTTTATAACCTGAGTTTCAATATGTTTGTTCTATTAACTCAGCAGGTCTTATCTTCTTGGTTTTTCTAAAGCTATTTCTTATTTCAACCTGAAAAAAAAATAGCCGTAAAAAGTTGTTTTCCAGAAAGCCTACTCTGAGATGGTTTGAATGCAGAAAGGTTTGGGGGTATGCTCATGGGATCAATACCTGTGAGGTAGTGAAGGAGGCAACATGGGGCAGAAGGTGGAGGAGTCAGGGAGGGGAGAGGGAAGGAAGTAAATTGAGGTGATGCAGTACCAGCAAAGCCTCAACTGATCCCACAGCGAGCTCTGAAGAGGAAAGGGCCCTTCAGAGTCATTCTGAACTGAGGAAAGGGGAGCTGGACCTTTCGACTCTGGTACTGATAGAGGCTGCCACCAGGGATGTTGGTTAAGGAAGAACCCTTCAGAACCAGGTAATCCTTATAGAGTTGTAAACCTTCAATGCTCCCAACAACTAGGAAAATGGGTGTTTCAATCCTGAATGGTGAACTATAGACTGTGCACAGCAACCAGTACTTAACACCTGCTCCTACTGCTAAAAGAACAGTCTGAACCATTCCATAAAAAGAAGGCATTGCATTAATCAATAATCTAGATTTCTTTACAAAATAAATGGTTTTCATTCTGTCTGATATCTGTGAGGTAGAGAGCATCAGTCAATACACTCCCATGGTAGATATGCCTTTCATATGGCATGCCATTTATTTGTTCCATTTGAGTCCCTTTAGAGATTTAGAGCCTCTCAGATTAACAGGTTCTAATTAATTGCAGTCACTGTATTCTTAATAAGGGTACTTGGTCATTCATAATCCTATCTACAGACTAATACTTTAACTTTTTAATACCACCCCCAGATCCGTACTTCTGACAGT